AATGACTTGATATCTTAAGGGTATCACCGATGCTCTCAGAAATTTATAAATTTTCAGGAAGTTTAAAAGTAAACGTCGTGGAATTTGTCAAACTCAGCCTGATAGTTGCGTTATAGACCTCTCTTTTTGGTTTTTGTTTTGTTTTTGTGTATTGGTCAAATCGTTGAACTTCTTTTTAAAATAGAACTATAACATTGCCATAATTCCTATATTATATATTAATCATCTTAATATTCCAAGTTACCCTTATTGCGATTTTACAAATTATTATGAGAGCTATCACTTGCGTCACTAGAGAAACCGACTACAAGTCCTATATATATTTTGGTTAATCTATTTGTGTAAAAGTGTTTAGTTCTTGTAGCTAAAAAAAGAAGATAAATGATAATAATGATAGCATTATGGTCGTAATGGAAAATTAATTGTTGAAAATAAGTAATGATATTTTCAATATAGAGTGATATTTTGATTTTTCAATATACAACGGTGTGAACATTGAGCAGAAAAGAAGAAGTTTCTTCTAATTCTTTGGGTAGAATTTTCCTCTTTTTTGTCTCCTTTGATTTCATTACAATCACAGAATCTGTAAGAAAAAACCAAGCTCTCAAGTTCATAAAATGAAATCTCTAAACCAGGAAACTCCATAACTATCTCTCTACTTCTTTCCTTCTTTATTTCGCTCACTCATGGGCACTGCAAGATCAAAGGTCTTAGTCTCACTCTTATTCAGCCTTTTCTTGCTTTTGAGCGTCTCAAAGATTCAAGCTCAGAGAACAAAAACAGAGTTTACTTTCCGAGGTTTTAAAGGAAACGAATCAGAGATTCGGATCGCAGGAGGAGCTGCGACGATCAAACCCGATGGATTATTGAGACTAACTAACAGAGGCTCAAACATTACCGGAACAGCTTTCTACCACAAACCGGTGAGATTGCTCGACAGTAATTCCACCATTTCCCCTATTCGTTCCTTTAGGACTTCTTTCGTATTCGTCATAATCCCTTCAAGCTCAAGCAATGGAGGTTTCGGGTTCACATTCACACTATCTCCAACTCCAAATCGTCCTAATGCCGGATCCGCACAGTACTTGGGAGTTCTCAACAAAGAGAACGATGGTGATCCGAGGAACCACGTTTTGGCGGTGGAATTCGACACGGTGCAAGGAGCCAGAGACGATACTGACAGAATAGGAAACGACATCGGCCTGAATTTCAACAGTCGAACTTCGGATATGCAAGAACCGGTCGTGTATTACCTCAACGATGATCCTAACAAAAGAGAAGACTTCCAGCTAGAGAGTGGCAATCCGATTCAAGCACATCTGAATTACGATGGACCAACACAAACGCTAAACGTCACCGTTTATCCCGCGAGATTGGGATTTAAACCCACAAAGCCATTGATCTCTCAAAAAGTTCCAAAATTACTAAACATTGTGCAAGAAGAAATGTACGTCGGATTCACAGCAGCCACAGGGAGAGACCAGTCCAGTGCTCATTACGTGATGGGTTGGAGTTTCTCAAGCGGCGGAGAAAATCCGATAGCGGGAACGCTCGAACTCTCGGAGCTTCCTCCTCCGCCTCCGAACACCCCGAAGAAGAGAGGTTTCAATTCTCAGGTCATAGTTCTGATCGTGGCTTCATCGGCCGTTATGCTGATCATGCTTGTGTTACTCTTCTTCTTCGTCATGTACAAAAAGCGATTGCAACAAGAAGAGACTCTTGAAGATTGGGAAATCGATCATCCTCGCAGATTCAGGTACAGAGATCTCTACGTAGCTACGGATGGATTCAAAGAGACTGGGATTATCGGAACCGGAGGATTTGGAACCGTTTTCAAAGGAAAACTCCAGAATTCTTCCCAGATCGCCGTGAAGAAGATAATTCCGAATAGCATGCAAGGTGTTCGAGAATTTGTCGCAGAGATCGAGAGTTTAGGAAAGTTAAGGCATAAGAATCTCGTGAATCTCCATGGATGGTGCAAACACAAAAACGATCTCTTGTTGATCTACGATTACATCCCAAACGGAAGCTTGGACTCGCTGCTCTACAGCGTTCCGAGAAGAAGCGGCGCCGTTTTATCGTGGAACGCCCGTTTTCAAATCGCGAAAGGAATCGCGTCTGGTTTGTTGTATCTCCACGAAGAATGGGAGCAGATCGTGGTTCACAGAGACGTGAAACCAAGCAACGTTCTGATTGACGATGACATGAACCCTAGATTGGGAGATTTCGGACTCGCGAGGCTTTACGAACGCGGATCTCAATCGCAGACAACGGCACTCGTCGGGACGATTGGGTATATGGCACCGGAGCTAGCACGGAACGGTAAACCATCGTCGGCTTCCGATGTTTTCGCGTTTGGTGTTTTGTTGCTAGAGATCGTCTCCGGGAGAAAACCGACGGATTCCGGTAGCTTTTTCTTAGTCGATTGGGTCATGGAGCTGTACGCGAACGGTGAGATTCTCAGTGCGATCGATCCGAGACTTGGATCTGGTTACGACGAAGGAGAAGCAAGGATTGCTCTCGCCGTCGGATTGCTCTGTTGCCACCAAAATCCGGCGTCTCGACCGTCGATGAGAGTGTTGCTTAGGTATCTAAACGGAGACGATGAAGTTGCGGAGATTGAAGACGATTGGGGATATTCAAAATCTTCGAGAAGTGATTTTGGATCGAAATTTGTAGGAAATGTAACGTCGAGCTCAATCGCTTCTTCATTCGTCACAAGAATTTCTTCGACTTCTGTTATTAGTGGTGGATAGTGTTACACTTACTACTAATTTAATTTTGCTATATAGTGAATTTCATTGGTTCTGCAATTTAGTAAAGGAAAATGGTTAATTATGGATGGTTAGAGCATATGCAATGCTAGCTCTTAAAGCATGTTCTTAGTATTGATTTGATTAAATTTAATTGATAAATGGTAATAGCAACTAAAAACAGTTCTTAATTCAGATCAATTTTGAGTGTGTTCTAAAAGACACGTGTCAGAAGGAGG